TCATATCCTTTAGCTTTGGGACTAGTCTTGTTGTTTGATCAGGTGTGGGATCCACCTGCGAGTGACTGATGAGAGTCCTTAAAGTTAACCTTAGATTTACGAAATGTGTTTATGATGCAAAGGAGGAACTTGTTTGCATGGCATGCACCTCATGTGATATATTCTGCACTATGCTCACCCCAAGGTTCATTTCCTTCAGTGAGGTTTGCAGCTTTTGTTCCCACAGGCTGTACTTTATTTTGGATCTTCTTTGCCCTTCCTCAAGTTTCATAACCTTGCATTTACTGAGGTTGAATCTCAATAGCACTTGTGTGGCCAGTCCAGAAGTTTGGCCAGGTCCATCTGTGGCTTTTCCTTGTCCCTTTATTTTTTATTCTACTCATCAATGAGTCAGAGCATGTGTGAATGTGAGTGAGACTGAGGAGTATATGAGTGAAACACCAGAGGATAGCACTGAAAATTTGTCAAGGAATTTATTGCCTAGATGACCGGGCAATTACCAGATAAGCCTGACTCGTAGACAAGCTGCTGAGCAGAAAACTCTCAAAACTAGTCAGAGGTAAATCATAGGTCACCACAAAGTCAACCTGTAAATGATCAGCAAAGCTTGAAATACAGCATTAGATACCATAAAAGTACATTAAGGTCTACCTAAAACTGCACCTATGTTGCATAATTTTTATTCAAGAGTAAAGAGAGAATGATTTAAATCACAGTGAGGATGCATGTGCAAGGATCCTTCAGACATTTGACACACTCTTAAAACGTGGAAAGAACATTTTCATTTATAAATGCTGATCATGTAACCTTGTGGAATAAATTACATTACAGTAACTACAACATTTCACATATAAATGCACACCTAGAGAGAAAACTGGAGACAACATTTTCTAACCAAGGACAACTCACATTTTTTGAGAAATTGGAACACAATTTCTTCGATGTTATGACAGGGCTAGGTTGCTTAACAAATGATAATCTGGTCCATTTCTCTGAAAGCCTTATTAATCAGCAGATTTATTTGTATTTGTTGCAAAATTGGTTTGTATCACAACCAGGACACCTTGGCAGTATAGACAACAGGACAGGGCAATAGCACATTATACAGTCAATGTTAGGGAACACCTCAGTAAAGTTTATGTGTAAGATATAACATTTAATATACATTCTGATCCCGACATGTTTGGCCTAGAACAATGGCTTCTATTGAAGTCACTCTTCTAGCACTGACTCACAAAGATAAACAAGGCATGTGTATAACAGAGAAGCTAGAGGTTCAACAGACACGCCATGGGCTATATCAGCAATGAGTCCAAAAACTGGGCTGTCTCCCACCAAGGCAGGGTGACCCGAAAAAGAAACACTTTCACCATCATTCACACTATCACCGTCTTGCCAGAGAAAGTGATATTTCTATTAAAATACTGTATTTATATTCTGCACTCATTTTTTTTTTCTTTCAATATATTCTAGAATGTAGCAGTTTCCAGAGTATAAGGGTGTGAATTATCACAACTGTATTGTATAGCACAAACATCTGGCAATTAACAATGCTGAACTGAATTTATGATATTCTACTGAAGCTTAGAGAGGTGATGATACCTAATTTTTTGCCAACATTGATATCGATACTTAATTTTAGGCTGAAACTGATACTCAGTTTTAGGCCAATCCCAATGCTGATACAGTAGGGCCTCACTTTACAGCATTTCACCTTACAGAGTTCTACTAATAGGGACATTTCAAATTATGATTAAAACTCTCTATACGGCTCCCCCAACCTGACTTTCTAATATGGTCACCGCACCCCACCCATGAACTCCATGAGCACTGCGTCTCTCCATTATGTCTCGAAATTTTCCAAAATTTCAAGTGTTTTAAGGTATTTCATGTTTTATATATACAGTGGAACCTCAAATATCAAACTATTTTCGGTCCAGAAGGCTGTTCGAGTGCCTTTACCGAATGAATTTATTCCCATCAGGAATAATGTAAATTAGATTAGTCCATTTCAGACCCTCAAAAATACACTTATAAAAGCACTTACAAAAATACACTTACATAATTGGTTGTGTTGGGAGCAGTTCGATTTTTGAGGTTCCACTGTACATACTTGGATAATTATACTTATGTGTACCTGTACCTAAATAAACTTGCACACTGTGAACATAAGAAAGAAGGAACACTGCAACAGGCCTACTGACCCATGCAGAGCAGGTCCATGTCCCCCCCCATCCCCCCCGGATTAGCCCAATGACCCACCCTCTCCGCATTAGCCCAATGACCCACCAGTCCGGTCGCCTCCACTCAAGGATGGAGCATGGAACCAGACCCAGCAGCACAAACTAGTCAGGTCCAACTCACACCCACCCACACTCACTCATGTATTTATCTAACCTATTTTTAAAACTACACAACGTTTTAGCCTGAATAACTGTACTTGGGAGTTTGTTCCACTCATCCATGACTCTATTACCAAACCAGTGCTTTCCTATATCCTTCCTGACTCTGAATTTTTCCAGCTTGAAACCATTGCTGCGAGTCCTGTCTTGGCTGGAAATTTTCAGCACGCTATTTACATCTCCTTTATTTATTCCTGTTTTCCATTTATATACCTCGATCATATCCCCCCTAATTCTATGCCTTTCGAGAGAGTGCAGATTCAAGGCCCTCAGTCTATCCTCATATGGAAGATTTCTGAGGATAGACTGAGGGCCTTGAATCTGCACTCTCTCGAAAGGCGTAGAATTAGGGAAGATATGATCGAGGTGTATAAATGGAAAACAGGAATAAATAAAGATGTAAATAGCGTGCTGAAAATTTCCAGCAAAGACAGGACTCGCAGCAATGGTTTCAAGTTGCTGGCGTGCTGGTACACATTAAAATCACTAAGAGTGTCTTATTAGTCTTGAGGATGCCATATTAATAATGATAATAATGCGCAATAATAATTACTCTGAGGTACATTAAATGTCGTATATTACATGAATATAGGCATATTCATTAATCCATTGATGTTTTTTTCAAAATTATATAATAAACATGCTACGTAACATATAAAAATGATAAATGCACCCACAGTTGAATAAATTAAAATATATTTTTTTTTTTTTTTATTATCACACCGGCCGATTCCCACCAAGGCAGGGTGGCCCGAAAAAGAAAAACTTTCACCATCATTCACTCCATCACTGTCTTGCCAGAAGGGTGCTTTACACTACAGTTTTTAAACTGCAACATTAACACCCCTCCTTCAGAGTGCAGGCACTGTACTTCCCATCTCCAGGACTCAAGTCCGGCCTGCCGGTTTCCCTGAATCCCTTCATAAATGTTACTTTGCTCACACTCCAACAGCACGTCAAGTATTAAAAACCATTTGTCTCCATTCACTCCTATCAAACACGCTCACGCATGCCTGCTGGAAGTCCAAGCCCCTCGCACACAAAACCTCCTTTACCCCCTCCCTCCAACCCTTCCTAGGCCGACCCCTACCCCGCCTTCCTTCCACTACAGACTGATACACTCTTGAAGTCATTCTGTTTCGCTCCATTCTCTCTACATGTCCGAACCACCTCAACAACCCTTCCTCAGCCCTCTGGACAACAGTTTTGGTAATCCCGCACCTCCTCCTAACTTCCAAACTACGAATTCTCTGCATTATATTCACACCACACATTGCCCTCAGACATGACATCTCCACTGCCTCCAGCCTTCTCCTCGCTGCAACATTCATCACCCACGCTTCACACCCATATAAGAGCGTTGGTAAAACTATACTCTCATACATTCCCCTCTTTGCCTCCAAGGACAAAGTTCTTTGTCTCCACAGACTCCTAAGTGCACCACTCACTCTTTTTCCCTCATCAATTCTATGATTCACCTCATCTTTCATAGACCCATCCGCTGACACGTCCACTCCCAAATATCTGAATACGTTCACCTCCTCCATACTCTCTCCCTCCAATCTGATATTCAATCTTTCATCAACTAATCTTTTTGTTATCCTCATAACCTTACTCTTTCCTGTATTCACCTTTAATTTTCTTCTTTTGCACACCCTACCAAATTCATCCACCAATCTCTGCAACTTCTCTTCAGAATCTCCCAAGAGCACAGTGTCATCAGCAAAGAGCAGCTGTGACAACTCCCACTTTGTGTGTGATTCTTTATCTTTTAACTCCACGCCTCTTGCCAAGACCCTCGCATTTACTTCTCTTACAACCCCATCTATAAATATATTAAACAACCACGGTGACATCACACATCCTTGTCTAAGGCCTACTTTTACTGGGAAAAAATTTCCCTCTTTCCTACATACTCTAACTTGAGCCTCACTATCCTCGTAAAAAACTCTTCACTGCTTTCAGTAACCTACCTCCTACACCATACACTTGCAACATCTGCCACATTGCCCCCCTATCCACCCTGTCATACGCCTTTTCCAAATCCATAAATGCCACAAAGACCTCTTTAGCCTTATCTAAATACTGTTCACTTATATGTTTCACTGTAAACACCTGGTCCACACACCCCCTACCTTTCCTAAAGCCTCCTTGTTCATCTGCTATCCTATTCTCCGTCTTACTCTTAATTCTTTCAATTATAACTCTACCATACACTTTACCAGGTACACTCAACAGACTTATCCCCCTATAATTTTTGCACTCTCTTTTATCCCCTTTGCCTTTATACAAAGGAACTATGCATGCTCTCTGCCAATCCCTAGGTACCTTACCCTCTTCCATACATTTATTAAATAATTGCACCAACCACTCCAAAACTACATCCCCACCTGCTTTTAACATTTCTATCTTTATCCCATCAATAAAATATATATGAGATGGTTTTCCAGTCATCTTACCGAGTGTCGGAAAGAATACTTCCACATGAGTCACATGATGCAGTAAAGACTGACACCAAGAATAAAAAAGTCCATTACCTTATTAAAAAAAGAGCACTGTACTGTATACAACATTTTTAAAAAACAATAGTGTACTCGCCTGGTTCCTGCACAATGTAGGAAACATAACATGAGCCATCCTTGCGGTCCTTGAAATCAATCTCTGCTTTGCTTGGGCCTTCAACGGAGATTGCCAGAGAGCCAGCACCCGCCTCCCGAGTCCAAACATTGAACTCATTGGGCATGTTCTCTTCACCACGCTCTAGGCCAGGGCCTCCAGCGTGTACACGATGGGCACCACCATCCTTAAGAGGACCAACCTGTCGGGCAAGATATCAGAGATTCATTTAAATGGGAAACAGTTTATATTTAAATCTGAATTTCATTCTTCATTAACCTGAAGTTTAAAGAGGGAACTTGAGGTGATGTTTCGGCCAATCTGAGCCATTAACAAATTGCAAATGTGATAAATTGTGACTTGATAATTGTTCAGGACAGACCAAAATATTGCTTAAGAGTAAACTGTTGCTGCCATGATATTATAACTTACTCATTTTTTAATTGTATTACAGTACAGCAGTTAATTTCTCTAGTCGCAAATAAAACCTGCACTCTCTTTGTATAATTATCTATAGCATTCTAGACTGCCTTCATCTGGACATTACTTACATGCATGACAAGTCTAGGCAAGGTCATCTATGTGTTTACCAAAGAGCACACATCACACACACATTCTAGTTATTTAGGTGGTTCTTGGCTGGTAATTTAGATTGAGGACTAAATTAAAAATTAGTGATAAGGAAAGTGTAAATAATGAATAAAGATAAACTGCATAATACTTTAAAATAACACTGGATTAAGAAAGGAGACTTACGGTGAACTGGAAGGGAGATCCGGGGATGTGCATTTCCTGGTATTTTACAGATACAGTGTGGATGCCTAATTCCTTGGGCACAAAGTTGACACCATAAAGTCCATCTTCAACTTCACCGATCTCTGCAGCTTCAGTGACACCGCCTGGTGAGGTCACTGTCGCTCCCAGGTCAAATGGAGAAATTCCAGGAAGTTTGAAGGTGAGGCGACACTGGGATCCAACCTCAGTAAGTGGGACAGCTTCTCGCTGGCGCTTGATGCGCTCCGTCTGCCTGTTTGTACCTTCACCTGTTACCTAAAAAACAAAAGAAATTTGTTCTTGTGATATCATGAAAGTCAGATAAGTACAATTCTGCTTTATTTTTAAACTAAATCAGTTGTTTTAATCCAGCATATTAACTAGACACTGGCCACAAACTTGAAGTTGTAAAGAAAACTAATTTAAGTGGATAAATATTTTTTATGTAACCCAACCAATAATTATTTAAGAAATATAGTACAGTGGACCCCCGCATAACGATCACCTCTGAATGCGACCAATTATGTAAGTGTATTTATGTAAGTGCGTTTGTACGTGTATGTTTGGGGGTCTGAAATGGACTAATCTACTTCACAATATTCCTTATGGGAACAAATTCGGTCAGTACTGGCACCTCAACATACTTCTGGAGTGAAAAAATATTGTTAACCGGGGGTCCACTGTACTCTTAGAATCCATTAAAATTTCACCAAATACTAAATGGGCTAAAATCAATAGCAATATATGGTAATAAATTTTACATGTTGAAGTGTACCACATACATAGTGATCTTCCAATTAAAGATTGTTCAAAAATTTTATTTTCAAATAACCAAAAAAAGAGTAGGACTGTTACCCCACTTAATGACTGTTTCCCTCTTGTTTAATGATCATATTACAGGCTGTGAGCTGCCCCATACCTGATTAACACCTTCCCCAAAACTGATTAACACCACCTTCCCCATACAATGGCCATTGTTTATAAATATATTGTTCATCAGCTCACAGGTCTCAGCATATGGGGCTAAATCAGCTGCTTCCTGCATCAGCAGTCAACCCACACTATTTTTATATCCTCTGCATTATCAGTCAAGTTGTAGGGACAATGGAAATGACTGTTTATAATGTAGTATAAATAGTTTATCACCCCAGGAAAGATTGGTTGTGTCTGAGAGAGAGGAGTGATTAAGTGTCACGTATTGTACCTGTCACCACTCTTCACTTCTTTCACCAGAGATGGTCCATTCTTTTGTGGAGGTATAGTGGTGTTACTCCCAAGTTTTATGAATGCATAATACCCTTCCTTGGTGGGAAACGGCCGATGTGTTAATAAAAAAAAAAATACAAAACAAACACTATGAAAAAAATTATCAGAATATCAAGAGGAGTATCACATCATGTTTTCATCGTTGTTGGGTTGAAGGATTGTAATGGCTCTTAGGCTGATCATTGCTAGGTTAAAAAGTTTCCATTTTAAGTAATAACATGGTATTCTATGGGAGATGTTATTCACTTAATGACCATTTCTTCTGTCCCTATCCAGGTCATTAAGTGGAAATCCAATGTACAAAAACACACAGGCACTTAAGATAATAAAAATTCATCCATCTACACTCTATCACTCAAGTTTCAGCCTAGAGTTCCTTAACTTGCTTCAGTCATAACCAAACACCATAACTGACAGTGTTATGAAAGGTAGCAACATCTCAGAAGTTGTACCTTAGTGGTGAATGGAGATCCATGAACATGGTTGTCAGCAAACTTTAGATTGATGATGTAGTATCCAGGCTCAGTAGGTTTATAACCAATTGTCAGTGTGCCGTCTTCATTGTCCTATAATAAAATGAAAGGGAAAAATGAAATATAGATTTTTCTAGCAGAAAATGTTTATGCTACATTAATTTGTATTTTGAATACAGCATACAGTACTGTGTTCTAAAGAAATATACTTTAGTAACAACCATTCTCTAATTTTTCACTTCAAAGTATTATATAAAATTTTAAGACATTCTTCAATATAAAAAATCTGTGTAACAAAATTTTGAATTGTATTTACCTTGCACTGAATATCAGCTTTGGATGGGCCTTCAACGGAGAGAGAGAGACCACCATAGCCAGCCTCACGAGTGTCAATGGTGAACTGGTTCTCTTGGTGAGTCACACCTTCAGTCAGGGCTTTACCTGTGATCTGGATAACAGACAATGATTACTGGTCTGCTGACAGTCACTACTATATATATGTTGTATCAAGTACTTGTAGAAATAAAGATTATTATTATTATTATTATTTTGATCATGTTCTTACAGTGAATACAGTTGGGTGTGAGGATCTGCATAGTGTAGGTCAGCAGGCCTACTGAAGTGATTCCTGACTCTGTTCCTATAGTATGAATAAATAGGTTTGAAAATGTAGCATCTGGTATGGGCCTATAGGCCTACTTCAGTACCTTATTATTCATATGCTCTTATAATGAGAATTACTGGATGTGAAGACCTGCCCAGCATAGGCCAGAAACACTACAACTATTGTTATATTTTGTAAATACTGTTAAGCAATACAAGATATACCCAAAAACTCCTGATGACACTGAAAGCTATGTAAGATTCAATTCTGATTATACAATTCATATTCAGGAAGAAAATCTTTATTAAACAAGTTTTTTGACATTGGAAGTTTGATGTCTAACCAAAGGAATAAATACACGTAAAGTTGAAAGTGAACATAGAAAAGAGTAAGGTGATGAGGGTATCGAATGATTTAGATAAAAAATTGGATATCAAATTGGGGAGGAGGAGTATGGAAGAAGTGAATGCCTTTAGATATTTGGGAGTTGACATGTCGGCGGATGGATTTATGAAGGATGAAGTTAATCATAAAATTGATGAGGAAAAAAAGGTGAGTGGTGTGTTGAGGTATATGTGGAGACAAAAAACATTATCTATGGAGGCAAAGAAGGGAATGTATGAAAGTATAGTAGTACCAACACTCTTATATGGGTGTGAAGCTTGGGTTGTAAATGCGACAGCGAGGAGGCGGTTGGAGGCAGTGGAGATGTCCTGTCTAAGAGCAATGTGTGGTGTATATATTATGCAGAAAAATTGGAGTGTGGAAATTATGAGAAGGTGTAGAGTTAATAAAAGTATTAGTCAGAGGGCTGAAGAGTGGTTGTTGAGGTGGTTTGGTCATTTAGAGAGAATGGATCAAAGTAGAATGACATGGAGAGTGTATAAATCTGTAGGGGAAGGAAGGTGGGGTAGGGGTCATCCTTGAAAAGGTTGGAAGGAAGGGGTAAAGGAGGTTTTGTGGGCGAAGGGCTTGGACTTCCAGCAAGCGTGCGTGAGCGTGTTCGATAGTGAATGGAGACGAATGGTATTTGGGACCTGACAAGCTGCTGGAGTGTGAGCAGAGTAATATTTAGTGAAGGGATTCAAGGAAACTGGTTATTTTATATAACCGGACTTGAGTACTGGAAATGGGAAGTACAATGCCTGCACTTTAATTAAAGGAGGGGTTTGGGATATTGGCAGTTTGGAGGGATATATTGTGTATTTTTATACGTATATACTTCTAAACTGTTGTATTCTGGGCACCTCTGCAAAAACAGTGATTATGTGTGAGTGAGGTGAAAGTGTTGAATGATGATGAAAGTATTTTCTTTTTGTCGATTTTCTTTGTTTTTGGGTCACCCTGCCTCGGTGGGAGATGGCCGACTTGTAAAAAAAAAAAAAAAAAAAAAAATCAGGGAAACTGGTTATTTTATATAACTGGACTTGAGTCCTGGAAATGGGAAGTACAATGCCTGCACTCTAAAGGAGGGGTTCGGGATATTGGCGGTTTGGAGGGGTATGTTGTGTATCTTTATACGTATATGCTTCTAAACTGCTGTATTCTGGACACCTCTGCAAAAACAGTGATTACGTGTGAGTGAGGTGAAAGTGTTAAATGATGATGAAAGTATTTTCTTTTTGGGGATTTTCTTTCTTTCTGGGTCACCCTGCCTCGGTGGGAGACGGCCGACTTGTTAAAAAAAAAAAAAAAAATTCTCAGTAATGATCTGAATTGTATTTCTACAAATTTGACATATATGGGTGGGGATGTTGCAATTTAGGTGATAATATGAACTGTGAGGTGATGAACTTGTGGCATGACAGCTGTTGATTGAGTGATGGTACATGTGTTTTCCTCCCAGAGCCACCCACCTTGGCAGAAACTGAAAATGATATTAGTGATAAAATAATGCAAAAGAGCATTATGAAATCATCTGCTATAAATATAAATTTTATCTTTCAATAAATAACAAGAAACACACATTAATTACATGCATTAAGAAGTATTTATCAGATACAGTACAGAATATTTTGATTCAGCTAGCCTTCAGGATTCTCCTCGGTAACATACCTTGACTTTTGAGGCATCGCCAACTTCCTTCTCTCCAACAGTGATCTTGAAGGGAGAGTTAGAAATGTGTGTGCCCATACGCTTCACAGACACCATGTGCTCGCCCACCTCACGAGGCGTGAAGGAGATGCCTACAAATGAGAAAACCTTATTTATGCAGAGAAAACTTGAGGCAAGTGTATGAATGTACAGCTTATAGTTACAAATGTGTAAATCATCAATGTACAGTATGTGTAATTATTTGTGAGAGCTTGCAGATGGAAGAACTATCAGAATAGCCTCAGAACTTTTAATCAGCTGATGTAAAATAGCCCTGTAATCTTTATTTATGAATTTGATTTCAGCATCATTATTTAATTCATTCCATGTGTTTGCCACCCATATGTGGAAGAAATATTTTCTGATATTCCTGTTGCTCATGTGGGTGTGTAATTTTCAGGCATGTTCTCATGTTATTGCTATACCTCTGGTAAAGAGCTTATTATTGTTTACTCTGTCTATGCCCCAGAGTATTTTGTGTGCTGTTCTAAGATCCCCTCTATTTCTTTGTTCCATACAGGTCTGGATATGCATTCTTATACTTTTTTGAATTTCATTACTGCATGAGGGTTCCATACAGGTGCTGCATACTCAAGAATGGGTTTCGTGTGTGTGTGTGTGTGTGTGTGTGTGTGAGAGATTTCCTACTACCTGGCAGAAAGACAATAAAATAGCAATTAAAATAAGTACGTACTTTATATTTTGTCCTCAGAGAGGACCTCTTCAGTCTGCTGAAGAGGGTAAGGCAAAATATACAGTACAGTACTCCTTTCATTTGCTATTTTACCATCTCTGTATTTATTCATGCCACTGACCAGTGTTTATTATATTCTTATTTTTTTTATTTCAACATGTATAGTACAAGGCAATTTACAACAAACCTGTAAATTTGAGATGTAACTACAATAACCTCTCAAGTCTGTCTTGGATCAATTGTGAGTTAGTTGTGAATTGTTCCAGTTACAATACCATAACTTTTATTCTTCATATATAAGAAAAATAACTTACCTAAGTGACCATTGGGGAGTTTCTTGAGGAAGCATGGCTCTTCAAGTCCAGATGGAGCCTGGATAGAAGCATTGAGGCTCTTGATGTCAGAATCAGACACCTTGCCAGGAAGGCTCACCTCAGACTGGGATCCAACGCTAATCTGGTTCCTCTTACGGCCCTCACCGGTGATCTTGACAGAGTAGGGGGAACCCTTAATGTGCTTCTCAGCAAACTTCACAGATACCTTGTATTCTCCAGGGGCAGTTGGCAGGTAGGACACAGAGACGGTACCATCTTTGTTGTCGTGGCAGGAGATCTCTGCCTTGCTAGATCCCTCCACAGCCAGAGAAAGACCACCTGGACACCAATGCATAACACAGCAGGCACCATTAGTGATATGACGGGATATTAAGTGGTCCTACACTTGAAATGCTATAGTGTTTCAAGCAATTAGTTATCAACTACTTAAAACTATGCTGCTCATACATTTAATTAGAAATCTTTTGTTTAGTTATTAAACCCTATATTAATTTACGTACTAAAAATACTGATAGATCTTAAAATACTAGACATTAGAAATGTCCGATAAATTTAATAAATGCTGTCACAAATAATCATGGCTGTTAGTTATTGATTATTAATTAATATGAGTGTGGAAGAACTGTTAGTTTATAAAGTTTTATTGTTTGAGATAAAACAATGCAGATAGCACAGTTACCACATAGTGCATTAGTAACTCAAGTCTTGTCTTCATTATTCAGTTATCCAAAACCTTAATTATTTAATTTGTGCTAATAACATTAATAACAAAAACAATATTAATTTATTTTAATTATTAACACATCAGCCGTTTCCCACCAAAGCAGGGTGGCCCGAAAAAGAAAAACCTTCATCATCATTCACTCCATCACTGTCTTGCCAGAGGTATGCTTATACTACAGTTATAAAACTGCAACATTAACACCCCTCCTTCAGAAAGCTGGCACTGTACTTCCCATCACCAGGAATCAAGTCTGGCCTGCCAATTTCTCTGAATCCCTTCATAAATGTTACATTGCTTACACGCACGCTTGTTGGAAGTCCAAGCCCCTCACACACAAAACCTCCTTTACCCCCTCCCTCCAACCTTTCCTAGGCTGACCCCTACCCTGCCTTCCCTCCACTACAGATTTATACACTCTCGAAGTCATTCTATTTTGTTCCATCCTCTCTAACTGTCTAAACCATCTCAATAACCCCTCCTCAGCCCTCTGGATATTAATTTTGGTAATCTCCTCCTAATCTCCAAACTACAGATTCTTTGCATTATATTCACACCACACATTGCCCTTAGTCATGACATCTCCACTGCCTCCAGCCTTCTTGTTGCGACATTCACAACCCATGCCTCACACCCATACAAGAGCATTGGTACAACTATACTCTTCTACATTCCTCTCTTTGCTTTCATAAAGCTCTTTGTCTCCACAGACTCTTCAGTGCACCACTCACTTTTAATAACCGTAAAAGAAGAATAAAACTAGCTACAAATTAATCAATATGACTGGGTTGTGCTAAAGTTATACTTGGATACTAATTGATGTCACAAAAAAGCTGGAAAAAAGCAAAGCTACACAATAAGCCCTCAAGCACTGGCTAGGTCGCTCTTACGTGATTCAACAAATATCATAACATCATTTGTAAGTGATACAGCATTGGTGAAATTTAACTGGTAGGTGGTGGTTATATGTGTACACCTGGCAGACTGTCATGTATATTATTCATTCCATTGTGACGTTGTTGCCGCTTTCTGTCATATAAACCAGCAGAAGCGAAGCCCCCATCTCAAAAATGCAAAATTTATCAGAGGAAAATTACTCTACATTAATATTTAAAATAAAAAAAGTTGTACTGAAACGATGTATACATTACTAAAATACAAATTAAGTACCACACTGTCATTGCAATGATACAAGTTTGCCAAAGTCTAAGAAGAGTATATATATACAATGGTACATTGACTTATGAGTTTACAGTTCACTTATTATATGACCCAGCTCATTTGTATACTAAAACCCCACAAATTCGTTCCGTGACCGAGCTTGTAACTCAATTTGCTCATATATCACATCAATTTTCCTCACTGAAATTAACTGAAATGCCATTAATCCGTTTCAGCAGAATTCCTGGCTCTCGGGAGGCAGGAGAAAATACTTCAATATGATGCTAATATCAACTCTGATTTATTTATCCATCAAAGTTGATCAAATATGACATATTAAAGAATATAAATGACACAGAAACATGATATATACTCTAGAATGAATAAAATCTGTCATTATAAGACGAGTGGTGGCAGCCACTCCCGAGATAAAAATAATTATCGCTCTGACCATATCTTCCCATTCTTGCACTTCTGAGGTCTTATTGTAAGAGAAAGTGGAGTGTTTGTGAGGCTAACTGCACTAGATCACTAGTTTCATAAGGAAAACACTGGAACAAAAGCAATTTTCTCAGGTTTTTCTATGATTTCATACTTTTAATTCAATGGACATCATCCTCTTCATCTCCTCAGCACTGTCCTTTGCACTTACTTTCTTAAGACCCCTGGTTAGAAAAAGAAATTTGGCAAAATAACTGCACCAAAAGCTGGGATGCTGGGCAGATGTTGTGGTGTTCACTGCGCCAACTAGTGGTGGCTTATCTGAAGCTCACTCATAACTCAGATTTTGGCTCGCAACTCAGAGCAAAAATTCGACTGAGCAACAGCTCGCAACTCAAAAAACTCATAAGTTGGGGCACTCGTAAGTCAAGGTACCACTGTATATCATACTGTTTAAAAATATTAATATATTTTAGTATGGATAAGGTTAAAATAATGAAAAAATTTTTTTACAAAAATATATCAGATTTTCCATTAAAGAAAAGCAAGCATTCAGCTTCATTTATCCAAAACAATTGATTTTTGAGACTTTGGTGCCAATATTTTCATAACATAAGAAAGAAGGAACATTGTAGCAGGCCTACTGGCCTATACAGAAGTGTATAGCACATATGAAATGTGGTAATGCCCCCATGTCAATGAATGAAATATGAAAATGCTTACATGTCAATGAATGAAATATGGTAATGACCCCTTGTCAATAAATGAAACATGGTAATGCTCCCATGTCAATAAAAGAAATGTGGTAATGCTCCCATATCATGAATATCCATTACTTTCTTTGGTCTACAGTATTTTGTTTATTTAAAAGGGCAATTTTCATTTGTCTAAAAGCATGTTAAAGGTTGATTATTTCTGCACAGAGTTCCAGGGAGAGTTATACTAAATATGAACGACCGAATACTAGGAAGCAAGAAAATTCATACTCGTACATTACTGTGAAATACTTGCATCAGTACAGTGAATCCTCACTGCCCAAAATACACCGCATGCTAGTGACTTTCTTTTGTGACTAACAATATTTTATTACTTGTGAACTATCTGTATGCTGCAGAAAAGAAGTAAAGCATTTGTTTTTATGATAAGAGGGACAGGATGTTCATTAAAGCTGAAGGTCCATCAAATCTGAATTATGATAATATTTCTTCCAATACTGTAACAGACAACTTTCAGATAAGATAAGATAAGATAAGATAAGATTTCGTTCGGATTTTTAACCCCGGAGGGTTAGCCACCCAGGATAACCCAAGAAAGTCAGTGCGTCATCGAGGACTGTCTAACTTATTTCCATTGGGGTCCTTAATCTTGTCCCCCAGGATGTGACCCACACCAGTCGACTAACACCCAGGTACCTATTTGCTGCTAGGTGAACAGGACAACAGGTGTAAGGAAATGTGTCGAAATGTTTCCACCCGCCGGGAATCGAACCCGGGCCCTCCGTGTGTGAAGCGGGAGCTTTAGCCACCAGGCCACCGGGTCTGTTAAATCCAAAAAGTAATTGCCCAGGAGACTGCAGTAATAAAGGATAGTTCTGGATTTAACAGACTTTCTTCATCAGATCTGGAGTGTATGTAAAGATAACAGACAATCGAGATTTAACTCTTTCACTGTCAAGACCCCTGCTCACAAACTTGCTATCAGTTTCAAAGAATTTTCCCCCCCAAAAAATATGAAATGATAGAGAATTTTTTCCCAATGGTAATGAAACCAAAAGCATGAAATTTGATGGAAAACTTATGGAATTATGCTCTCGCGAAGTTAGTGGTCTTAGTGATATTTATGCATTGGCGATTTTGCATAATTTAAACCCTATTTTGGGCCAATTCCATTGTTCCAGTCACCCAAACTCATAGCTATTTTGCTAGAACCCCATTAGTTCTATTGAGTACAAGAAAATGCCCATTTACCTATTTCATTACCCAATAAAGTGATCAGAAATTGCTAATTTAGCCAATTTCACACAAAATTCAAGAAAAGCCATTTTCAAAATAGGGTTCAGAATTAACAATACAAACAATCCTAGCAGTAAAATAACATTTTTCTCTGTTCACTAGTCATGTCTCAAAGCCTCTCTTATATTACGCTTATTTACCATATTGAATTTTTATTCACGCAAGAAGTAGAATATTTACTGTTATGCAGACTACTGTATTACTGTAAAAATGGTATAAGTAATATCAGTGCATTTGTGAAAGCATATTAGATCCACCAGTTGACGTGTATTGGACACGTGACGAGATTTATTTACTCTTGAACATCAGCAAAAATCGAACATTTCCACTATGAGCTCAATTTCAAGGTACTTTTCCCCTCAAGGAAGGCTCCATGATGTTGGTGAGGGGCTCTTGATTTAGGGAATTGGATCTGTGCTCCAATTCCCCGAATTAAGCCTGAATGCCTTCCACAACATCCCCCCAGGCGCTGTATAATCCTCCGGGTTTAGCGCTCCCCCCTTGATTATAATAATAATAATAATCAAGGTACTTTTATTCTGTAAACCATTCAAAATCATCTCTTCTTCTGTAATATATCATTCATTCTATCAAATGAGACCAAGAAAATGAGAATACAACCATAAATACCATACGAAAATACCCCACAAAGTCTCTGTTTTAAATTAAAAACACTGTAACGGTTTTTTTCTCATTATGCACTGCATGCTGCAGTATTTTTTTTTTTATACTGCACACATTAACCACTCATACCCATTCTCTCATATGTAGGCCTACCAGCTATCTCCCGCAAAATTCAAAGCCACTACAATTTTGGCATAGTATTATGGAACCGACACTGGTTTGCAAGCCATAATATTACGGGACCGACAGTGAAAAGGTTAATGGATGAAGTCTATTAAATACAAAATAATTTACCCAGCAGACCATAAGAATAATGAACAATTCTGGAGTTTAATGGACTTTTCCCATACTTCCAACTGATGTGCAGCCACAAAATTTGTTAAATATAAAATCTGGTAAACAGGGATTCATTAAATTGAGGTTTTACTGTATACACTGTATATATTTTTTAATTAATGTAACCCATACACGAAATATCTTTCAAGAATTAGAGCTGAGCTGTATGAGTATTAAGTTTTATACAGAAATTATAGATTTTGTAATTTTTAAATAAAAAATAATTATAAAATAGCTGCAATCAGAATGAAATTTAGATTTATGATAATCCAACAGTGTAAATATACTGAAGGAATTTTCAGCAAAAATCATTGAATAACTTTTCATGAAAAGATGAAGTCAGACACTTTCTTGATGTGAAGTCTTTTGCCAATATTTTCTGCAGGTCTTTAATGTTAAGGAAATTCACAAATTTTAAACCACCTTACTGATTAGTGTCAATAACAATGATACTATAACAGTAATTTAAAATTTATGGCAGTCAAGAGAGCAACAGAGATATATGTGCAATAAGTATCAACAATAATAGACATAGCCAGTGTAGATGCTAGCTAGGTAACAAAGCTACAAGCACAAGATAAGAAGTATTGCTCAGAGTAAGGCTGGCAAATTCAACATCTTAATCCCATCAACAAGAATGTCTTGAGGCTAAAAAAGGGCTCTTGACCCAGAAATTTGTAGTTGACCTTACCTTCCTTTGATTAAACATGACTGCATACTTATACTCCAGATGCTACATGACTCCTGACCCTTCTGGGTTTAGTGCTTAGTTATGATTATAATAATACATAACCTCTACTGGTTTAACATTTCCTGATGAATGCTGTATACATGACAATTCCCAAGGTTTAAGTGTTGAACTTGCCCTTACTATTAGCAACACTTCGTAAATTTAGAGTAGATCTATCCTCCTAGGGACAGTTACATTTCCTTATTTTGAATCACTGTGGAGATTTATAATGAAAGTGCATCACTCATGTTTGGTAGGTTTAAAGGTTCAAAATTTTAAGGTGCAGCACCGCAGCAAGCTTCAGTGTTTAGCAAGACTCCCAACAGCTGACCCAGAGAAAGCAGTTGGCAATAAGCAACTTGCAGTAGCAAATGCAAAAATTATAATCAATGTAGGCTTGAAATATTTGATCGAGCATCATAAAATTAAATGTAATCAGTAAAATACCTGTTCTATATATGCATTAAAAGCTATACTGCAGTAACTATGGTAATATAGTCTACATTAAACTTAAAAGTAGAGCTCCATTTTAAGGTTAAAGAAAAAAGGAAAATGATAGTTCATAAACATAAAAGTAATAGCAATACAGAAAAAAAGAGCAGATTTTGTACTGAAGAAATTTTTTACAAAATTTTAAATTTGTATGCAGACCTTTACATACTCCCATTCGTGGCTTGAAAATGAAAAATAACAAATGACGTACGTGTCTCCCTATAGGAAAGCAATTGTAGTCTGAATATACGTAATTTTTCCTCTCAATAAAGAGTTCTCACAATTTTTTTTTAACAGAGTTATCGCAGTTTTTATGGTATATCTTGAAAGAACACTCACCGAGGTATTGTATCTCTTGTCCACCACTATACTGTTAGGTCCTTGTTAGTCCTTTCACAGACGGTAAATACAGTAAAACCTCTATTTAATGGACTAATCAGGAGAGAGGGCATTAGGTAATGCCGAACGTCTGGAGAAATTTGAATAGCGAGATTTTGTGGTGATGGTAACAATAATGGCTAATTCTGTAACCAATAGACTTTGTCCAATGTCTACAAAGTCAATTTAACCAGAGAATTTTGTAAATTATTTCTGAAATTGATTAAATGAATGTCCATTAAAATGAGGTTTTACCACTAACTTATTCTCATTGTAAAGGATAAGCATCTCTAAATATCCTCAGAGATGACGTGTCTTGTTTCTCATGGCAAGATAAAATGTGTATAACAATAAACAAAATGTGATAAGCATGGAAGTGTTTGTTTTTGTAGTTTCTGTAGTGTTTTTCTTGTTTTTAAGTATTTTTGTATGTTTTGTACTGTTTCTTTTGTTTTTGAAGGGTTTTCTATAATTTCTGTAGTGTTTTTGTTGTTTTTGAAGTGTATTTGTAGTTTCTGTAGTGTTTTTAAGTGTTTTTGTAGTTTCTGTAGTGTTTTTGAAGTGTTTTGTTAGTTTTGAAGTGTTTTGTTGTTTTTGTAGTTTCTGTAGTGTTTTTGTTTTTAGAACTTTTATTTCTGTAATTTCTGTAGTTTGTTTGAAGAGTTTTGCAGTGTTCTTTTTAATGTTTATGTAATGTAAGACTGTACTGCTGCCGTGAAGACAACGTTAGCATCCTCGACGCTCTGAACTTACTCTAGTACACAAATAACCCGCACATAAAAGACAGAAGCTTACGACGACGTTTCGGTCCGACTTGGACCATTGACAAAGTCACACTAACAGAGGAGGAGCAGGACGTTTCGCCATCCAGTGGCTGGCTGGATGGCGAAACGTCTACGGTGGGGATGCCCGGGTGTTGTGCATGTGTCATTTCATCCTGTCGGTATTATATACAATTCTTGTACTACTACTACTACTACTACTACCACTACTACTACCACTACTACTACCTCCACCTCTTCCTGCCTATATATAGCCGTCCTGCTCCTCCTCTGTTAGTGTGACTTTGTCAATGGTCCAAGTCGGACCGAAACGTCGTCGTAAGCTTCTGTCTTTTATGTGCGGGTTATTTGTGTATCGTTCCAGTCACGGTATTGTGCCGTTTTGTTATTTATTTACTCTAGTACAGTAATGCTTTGATGAAACTACTAATTCAAGAGCTACAATGAGTATTAATTGTACATTTATTTCATCATATAAAATAATATAATGCATATTCTTTGGTGTCATACGTAGCATTAATTTCTAGGTTTAGTCTGCCAAAAATGTTCTGTATAACTGTGTGAACTTTTCCAAAAATGCACAAAATACTGTTTAGCCAACATAATAATAATTTATATATTTTTTTATAATAAATTTGGTTGTTTCAGGGAAGAATAAAGTCACCTGCTGTTTTAAAATTGACCACCTGTTTAAAATGGACCAGCTGTTTTAAAACTGACCAGCTGTTCTGGATGTTCATAAGCTGTTACTGGATATTACACACACACCCTTCAAGGTAGGTGTTTTGATGAGGGTGAAGGGTTCCTAATCTATGGTACTGGAACTACCTTCCCCTTCCTCAGATCAAACCTACTTGCCTACATAATCAAGGTGCTGTATGACCCCCCAGGGGAGTTCAACGGTTTCCAATGAATATTATGAAAATAATACATTGCACATATAAACAATAGTTACAAAGCACCAACCTATTAAGTCATCACACAGAGGTGTACAAGTCTGATGGTTAAGGGAATTTAAGGCTAAGCTTTTTTTGGATCTGATATGATTAAATTCTGGTATAATTATGAACAATTCACCACTTCATAAAACAGTCAGTCTGTCCTTTAGTACATAGCACTGAATCACCTATAATGAGTTTAGAACTTTGCGAATATAATAATCATTTAATACACTATTACTACTGCATTTCACTTTTCAAGGGATTATATTAAGAAAAATTTTTGACTTATTTATGTTCTTAAAAAAGATTTCTAGAATAAGAAATGCTAAAACCAAACAGTCTGCACAATTGAAGCAGCAAATATATGCAAGGTGATTGTCAACTTCTAGGTTTTCAAACTGCAAAGAATGAATAAGTCATGCTTAGCACTAGTTCTCATCTGCTTATTATGTCCTATTTATTAGTTATACTGGCAGGGCTGAGGGAGAATCATTACAATGTAACTGCAGCAAGGGGCAGCATCGAGTGGCACAACACAGCAGCGTCAACACACACTCTTGATGAAGGTGTTGGGAGACTGTGAGGGTGTACCTTGTACCTTCAAGAGGGCATAGCTGGGTGCCTTGGAAACATCCCTTACATTTCACAGACCAATCCATAAATTGTGAAGCATGGATATTTTTTAGGACACCCCGAGGAAGGTCCTTAGCAGAGAATAATACAGTACTGGTGTGTCTTTTAACACCCATTGCCAAGAACCGCCATCAGGTAGGTGACCTCACATTGCAGGATGTAGGAGAAGTCAAGGAGAAGATAAAGAATGGAGACCCTACCACGTAGTGTGGAGCTACCTGCACCAGCATCCTTGGTGGCGATGGTGAAGTTGCATGGTTCACCAGTGATGCCATGCACCAAACCAGTACCATATGCTGTCACATACCCAGAAGAAATGGAGTCCACATGGAACTTGAAGGGTGAGCCTTAGGAGAGAAGTACATAAGTTTATTAAACAAGTAATATTTTTGGCTATTATAAAAAATTGTGAGTACTATAGTATATTAAAAAAGGTCTTAAGACAAGAGAGGAAAGAAAAATCTTAAAAAACTTAATATTTAAATCTATTTTATATTAATCTTGCATTTAGTCTCATTATTATTTTCTCTAGCATTTGCTGTTTCTTTACTTCTGTTTTACACTTCCCTTTTACATTATAGTCACAAACAAACTAATTCTTATACTATAAGGTTACTCAGTGTGTGTCATAAACACTAACAGCCAGAGTGATAAGCCTGTGTACTGAGAGGCCTGGTCTGTGACCAGGCTGTATACACTAACATTGCACCCTATAGTCACACACAGTAATTAAGACAGTTGTATGCACTATATATAAATCAATGTCAGTTTCAGTCGTCTCATATATGGGTAGCCTACCCACATCCACTCTTGCCAGGTGCTAGCTTTCTAGGTATGATATTCAGGTACATACTCTGCTGGGTCCTTCTTACTTCAAGCTCTTCCTCAACAAGCTCAAATGCTGCCATTATGAACTGTGTACACTGACCCACCTGGGTGAAACGACTGACTGACAGCAAATGTAGATTGTTATTTGAATAAGTGAACTCACTTGGCTATGTGAAACAGAATATTAAGAGACTACACCTTTGTAGACCTCCATTTGCCAAGTACATATTCTTATGATTAAATTTATAATTACTGTGCTTGTAATGAATACTGTATTACAAAAATTATGACGTAAAATATATGAAAGTAATCTTAAAGCCAAGCTATTATGTAAAAAAAAAATCACACTTTTAATCGAAACTGGTAATATGTACGATTTTTCAGGCTATTTCCTGCTTTCCATCAAAATTAAAACATTTTTGACTAAAAATCCATTATTTTAGTTAAAAACATATTACCTCTTAGATTTTATTGTAATGTTCATGTGATTTAAAAAAAAAAAATGAAATCTAACCTTGGACATGCTCGGAGTTATATTTCACGTGAAGTTCATGCAGTCCCTCCTCACGCGGTGAGTAACGCACAGACACAGTACCATCCCGATTGTCCTCAATCACCGGAAGATCCTTTTCTCCAGAAGGCATTCTGACCTCAGCTGAAAACAGGTGCCATATGACTTATTATTCTATGATACACACTACAAGCATGTATTATTATTATTGTCATATTCATGAAGAATCTTTAAATTTATAAAGGTCATGGAGTATTTGGGGGATGAGAAATTATTATATTTGATGCAAGGAAGGGTAATGTAGCTCAAATTTCTTGGATCAAGAGCAGTTCACTAACATCAAGGCACCACTTTTGAAGGGCTGTCCTCTGTAATCAAGGTTTATCCACCTTCCCAGTATATACAAGACATTTCACTAATGCTGCACAGCTTCTCATACGGGTACTGTACAGTGATTTCTTTTTAATGTAATGATAAACAACTTTTATTTCCTTAATTCCACCTTATGCATCACAAGTAAGCTTCTGTAACAAGAGCTCTACAGCTCATCATGCTACACATAATGTAAATATTTATTTTCTAACAGTTTGACATCCAGCACTGGTATGCCAGCCACCACCTGCTTCACCACTAAGAAAGTCATCACTAAGATCTGTGTCAGGGGACAGTTACTCTAAAAAGTAAAACACTACCACCAGCTCTCTTTGCTTCCATACTCTCTACACTGTCCCTTCCATACTCTCTCTCTACACTGTCCCTTCCATACTCTCTCTCTACACTGTCCCTTCCATACTCTCTCTCTACACTGTCCCTTCCATACTCCTCTCTACACTGTCCCTTCCATACTCTCTCTACACTCTGTCCCTTCCATACTCTCTACACTGTCCCTTCCATACTCTCTACACTGTCCCTTCCATACTCTCTCTATACTCTGTTCCTTCCATACTCTACACTCTATTCCTTCCATACTCTCTCTCTGCACTCCATTCCTCCCAGGGAACCCCTTCACTTGCATACTATCCCTTAAGGTGAGTGTCCATCTTGGTTGATGGGAAGTGATTGTGGTGGCCCACGTAGTGGGTGGTGGCCCAGGTGGTGCATGGTAGGAGCCTCACCTGTGACGTGACCGCCGGTGGTGGGTAGAGGGATGTTATGTAGCTCAACTGGACGGTAGCTGCCGCTACTTGGTGTTCTCTCAAGACCGTTGACCTTGCTCTGGGTCTGCTGGTACTCCTCCTCTGACTGCGCCTGAAAACACAAACACTGCAAGGTAAACAATGTAATTCATGGTATACAGTAGGCATGCAAACATGAACACTGTATACACTGAGCTACAAACACACACACACACTAAACAGTACTCTCCTGATGAGGGTCTTCACTTACATTGTAAATATTTGTGTTATTTCTTAGTTTTTAATGTTGACCATTGTAACAGAGTAACCCACAGACCTAGTGTATGGTACATTACATGTTGTTTATCTAGTGGTAATTCCTGGAGTTATTGTTCCTGCAGACTGGTTCCAGACTGTGCCTTCCCTTGAATGGCCTGATCACTCAGACCGGTGGTGTTAGCAACACACAATCCGATATAGGCACTGTGACATGTGTAGTTAGTAGTAGTAGTTACTAACTGTCAAAGGCACTTGTCAATGTGTGTGTGTTCTTATCTAGTTACCTATCTGTGGTTGCAGGGGTTGAGTCATAGCTCCTGGCCCTGCCTCTTCACTGCTTGCTACTAGGTCCACTCTCTCTCTCCCTGCTTCATGAGCTTTATCATACCTCTTCTTAACCCCTTGACTGTTGCAACCCCCAATCCTGAGGTGTCTCCTGGTGTCGCAAAATGTCAAAAAAAAAAAAAAAAATGATTTTTCTTATGAAATGATAGAGAATCTTTTCCCGATTGTAATGACACTAAAAAAACGAAATTTGATGCAAAACTGACGGAATTATGCTCTCGCGAAGTTAGCGACCCCGGCGATATTGACAAATCGGCGATTTCGCCCACTTTGAGCCCTATTTTCGGCTAATTCCTTTGTGCCAGTCGACCAAAATCATAGCTACTTCTTTAGAACTTAATTGTTTCTATCGATTGAGTACAAGAAACTGCCCATTTACCGATTTCAACTACCCAATAATGTGGTCAGAAATTTGCAACTTGGCCAATTTCATGAAAATTAAAACATATAACAATGTCAAAATAAGGTCCAGAATGAACAATGCAGACATTCCTGGCTCTAAAATAACATTTTCTTTGCTCATCAGTCATGTCTCCAGACCCCTCTGATATTACTCTTGCTTTCTATTTTGAATTTTTATTCAAACAAAAAATAGAAGACTTACTATTATGCAGACTACTGCAATACTGTAATAATTGTATAAATAACGTCAACCCATTCATGACTGCATATTAGAATGGCTAGTTGGACATTTATTGGACTGACATCATTTGTGTACTTTTGAACATCGGTAAAAATCAAACATTTCCCCTACTTTGAGCTCCATTTCCAGGTTCTTTTTATAGTAAAATCAATCAAAGTCACCTCTATTTCTATAATATGTTTTCCATTCTAACAAATGAGACCAAGAAAACGAGAATACAACCATAAATACTATACGAAAATAGACCACAAAGTCGGCATTTTAATTAAAAAAACGGTCGGAGTTTTTTTTTTCTCATTATGCACTGCGTGCTCCAGGATTTTTTTTTATATGGTGCACACTGACCACACAGACCCATTCTCTCACATGTGGGCCTACCAGCTTTCTCCTGCTTGATTTGAAGCCGCTAGAATTTATGAGTATATATACGTCAAACACGGTACCTCGTAAGACGTATATATATGGCCACGACAGTCAAAGGGTTAAAGCTATGTATGGATCCTGCCTCCACCACATCACTCTCCAGACTGTTCCACTTCCTGACAACTCTACGACTGAAGAAGTACTTCCTAATATCCCTGTGACTCATTTGAGTTTCCAACTTCCAGCTGTGACCCCTTGCTGCTGTGTCCCATCTCTGAAATATTCTGTCCCTATCCACCTTGTCAATTCCTCTCAGTATTTTATATGTCATTATCATGTCCCCCCCTATCTCTCCTGTCCTCCAGTGTTGTCAGGCTGAGTTCTCTTGATCTCTCTTCTTAGGACATGCCCCTCAGCTCCAGGACTAGTCTTGTTGCAAACCTTTGCACTTTCTCTAATTTCTTGACGTGTTTGACCAAGTGTGGGTTCCATACTGGTGCTGCATACTCCAATATTGACCTGACACACATGGTGTACAGTGTCATGAATGATTCCTCACTTAGATGTTGAAATGCTATTCTTAAGTTTGCCAGGCGCCCACATGCTTCAGCAGTTATTAGGTTGATGTGCACCTCAGGAGATGCGCTTGGTATGATGCTCAATCCAAGATCCTTTTCCTTGAGTGAGTTTTGCAGCCTCTGACCTCTTAGGCTGTACTTCATCTGCAGTCTTCTTTGTCCTTCCCCAAGCATAACTCCAGGAGCCATTTGCCACATCAGGCTTGCAGCCTGTCCAGATCCCCTTGTGTCTGGGGGAGGGGGATTCAAGTCTTAGCTCCTGGTTCCTCCTCTCAACTTGCTGCTTGCCAGCTTAACTCCCTTCTAATCTTGTGGGGTCCTAGCACACCTGCTCTTTAAACTGTGTATAGTCTCTCCCTCCACCACTTCGTTGAAATCAATCCACTTCCTGACATCCTTGTGACTCATCTGTTTCTTTAACTTCTAGCTGTACCCTCTAGTACCTGTTGTCCACCTTTCAAATAAGTACTACCCTGTCTACCATATCAATTCCCTAACCCTCCCTAGTTAGACGACTTTTACTGTAGTCAGCTGGCCCAGTGGCTTACACACTGGCCTGGAGTTTTACCACTCGCTTGCCATGGGTTCTAACCCCAACCCGTACCCTGGTTTGTACTCATGTTATTACGATTTCCTGATTCCCGATGGTCACTCTTAACTCTGCCAGATGAGCATTGACTGCAGAGGTTCAGATGATATGAGCATCTGAGGTGTTTACATGATAGAAACACACAGGTGCTGATATTTCTAATACTTCACCCAAAAAGTGGGTCTCTTAAGATTAGTGACAGGATCTTGATTCAAGGAATTAGAGCAGCCCTTCCCCTCCCATCAAAGCTGACTGCCTATCATCCCTGAGCATGACTCCTATGGATTTAGTGATTCTCCCCCATGAACAATAATAAAAATAACAGAATGTAACTACCACACAGAAGTAGCAGCACACCGCGGGTGTTCCAACAGTGTAACTATCATACGGAACAGTCTAGTAGCACACTGTGGGTGTTCCAACAGTGTAACTATCATACGGAACAGTCTAGTAGCACACTGTGGGTGTTCCAACAGTGTAACTATCATACGGAACAGTCTAGTAGCACACTGTGGGTGTTCCAACAGTGTAACTATCATACGGAACAGTCTAGTAGCACACTGTGGGTGTTCCAACAGTGTAACTATCATACGGAACAGTCTAGTAGCACACTGTGGGTGTTCCAACAGTGTAACTATCATACGGAACAGTCTAGTAGCACATTGTGGTGTTCCAACAGTGTAACTATCATACGGAACAGTCTAGTAGCACACTGTGGGTGTTCCAACAGTGTAACTATCATACGGAACAGTCTAGTAGCACACTGTGGGTGTTCCAACAGTGTAACTATCATACGGAACAGTCTAGTAGCACACGTGGGTGTTCCAACAGGTAACTATCATACGGAACAGTCTAGTAGCACACTGTGGGTGTTCCAACAGTGTAACTATCATACGGAAAGTCTAGTAGCACACTGTGGGTGTTCAACAGTGTAACTATCATACGGAACAGTCTAGTAGCACACTGTGGGTGTTCCAACAGTGTAACTATCATACGGAACAGTCTAGTAGCACACTGTGGGTGTTCCAACAGTGCAATTATCATACAGAATAGTCTAGCAGCACACTGTGGGAACACCCACAGTGTAACTTGAGTATTATACAGACACAGGATCAAGACCGTGTGTCAGTAACACTGCAATATAGTCACTCAGTCTGCGAGTCAGTCTGACTGCAAAAGCCAGTCATTCTTGGTGTCTAAGAGCTAGACAGTGGGAATGAAACAGTCAGTCGGTCTTTCAAATAGTCAGACTGAAAAGAGCCACTCGATCTATGAGACAGTCAGTGGTAGTGGATCTGTGAGAAAGTCACCAGTCTACCTCGTTTATTAACTATCAGAGACAATGACTGTTTTATGTACATGAAGTTTTAAACACGCATGGTCCCCCTTCCCTCGCAAGGAATGGTGAAAGCTCGATCCTCCGTCCATCAATAATTAGATTATTTTTTTTTATTCTCGGGGCCAGGCTTCCTGAAGTACACCTGGAGGGGGTTTCGGGGGTCAACGCCCCCGCGCCCCAGTCTGTGACCAGGCCTACCTCGGATAAATGAAAACAAAAATTCCCCCTTTGAAACAACTGGTCAGGGTTTATAGTGGCACTAACATACTAAGCATAAACTAGTCAGGGTTTATAGTGGTTTATGGAGCACTGCCTCCCGGTGTCCGGGGAAGAAACTAGCGCCTTTTATGGACGGTCTTGTGTTAGTCATGGAGTAAGAATTTACGTTTTTCTAGGCCCGGATTAAGGATCTTCAAGATAGTGTTTACCAGGGCTAACTTGACGCTCAAGAACATTCCCTGACGTCTGTTCTACTACCCACCAACACGCTGCACCACAACACTATATTCACTTTACACCAACTTCAATACCATCACCTTTCACACTGTCACAGTTTTCATATAAATAAATAAGAGGTAGAGACAGATGAGAAACAGGTGGAGGGCGTGTGTTAGGTGGGTGTTGTGTGTGTTGCCGCCCGTGTTGTGTGTGTGTGTGTGTGTGTACTCACCTAGTTGTACTCACCTAGTTGAGGTTGCGGGGGTCGAGTCCGAGCTCCTGGCCCCGCCTCTTCACTGATCGCTACTAGGTCACTCTCCCTGAGCCGTGAGCTTTATCATACCTCTGCTTAAAGCTATGTATGGATCCTGCCTCCACTACATCGCTTCCCAAACTATTCCACTTACTGACTACTCTGTGGCTAAAGAAATACTTCCTAACATCCCTGTGATTCATCTGTGTCTTCAACTTCCAACTGTGTCCCCTTGTTACTGTGTCCAATCTCTGGAACATCCTGTCTTTGTCCACCTTGTCAATTCCTCTCAGTATTTTGTATGTC